ATCCAGTTTTCAGTTCTGTCTCAGGGGTAATTTTTCCACGAGTAGTTGTAAATTGGCTGTGTCCACGGGAGTAGGTGAGTTCGAGTCTGCTTACGCCGTCATCTTGACTCCGCCTCCATGACAGCTTTTAACCTGTGGGAGATGGAGCCATTGCAGTGTTCTGAGTGGAGGCGTGACCTGGGCTGATGTCTATTACAAAGGGTCCCTCATCTGCAGATGAAGCGTGGCCCTCAGCTGTAAAAGCTAGGAGCAGAAATGGACGTGACGGACTTAGGGAAGCCTCTATAGATTGTTCTGGCTAAAGAATGGGATTTACCTCCAGGTATATAGGAGAGAAAGGTGAAAAAAGCCTTGAATGCCATGCTCGGTCGCCCAGCACAGTGCTTCCCAAGCTTTATTGTGCACAGGAGTCGCTTGGGAGCTGGTTGAAACACAGTGGGTTTCAGCAGGCCTGGGATGCTGATGCCTCTGGTCAATGGACCACGCCGAGAAGCAAGGGTCTAGAGTTTGACTCCAAGTTGGTAGAAGGTCATCTGTTACCATCTGCCCATCCTTTCAGGTCTTAAGGCAGATCCTGGAAGTGTCAGTTATCACCAACACCCCCATCCCCCAGATGCAGCTACACACCATTTTCATCGAACTTCATGTCCAGGTGAGGCTGGCGAGCTTGGCTGTGTGTGGCATTCTCAGGGCAGTTCAGCGGGAACTGGATTGCAGGAGATAGTGTGGCTGACCAGGGCGTAGAGTAAGGTGGTGGTGGAGCCCCCCTCACTCATGTGCCTCCTGCATCCCGCGGGGTGCGAGGCCGTGGTGCCCACGTGGCCCCGGCACAGACAGGCTGGGCTGCCCCTGCGCCTGCGTCCCCTGTCCCGGCTGTGATCTCATCTGCCCCCGCTGCACGCCCCCTCCCCAGGTGTGCGCCAAGGCCCCCGCCCAGCAGCAGTACAGCAGCCAGAACCTGGTGGAGATCGTGCACTGCTTCATAGCCCTCGGTGAGGCCCCCCCGAGGCCGCTGTGAGTCTGGGGAGTCCTGGCCCCTCTGAGCACAGCTTCTGTGGCTCAGTAGGAGTGACACAGTGGTCCTTCCCTTGCAGCCCGCTCCTACCCCAAGGAGCTGATGAAGTTCTTCCTCAGCCAGATGGAGATGAGCAAGGAGGCCATCCGCGTGGGGACCCTGACCCTGATTAGGGCCGTGGTGAGCGCAGATGGTGAGCAAGGGCGTGAAGGCGGGGTGGGGGTCAGGAGAAGTGGGTCTGACTTGTGTCTGGACCTCCATCATTTCCTCTTTTATAGACTCTACTGGGTGGGCCAAGGAGCCACGGCTCTCGGCTGTTTCACGTTTTCTATCCTTGAACCTAATCTGCCCTGTGACCCACCCTCCCCACCCCAACCCTCTCCTTAGACTCTGAGTCCCAGCTTCCGCCTGAGTCTGAATTTCAAACTGTTAAGCTGAATCCTAGTCCTAAGCCCCCAAGCTAAATCGAAGGCTGAATACAAAGCCTGGTTAGATCATATAGGTACAGCCCTGAAGCCCCATTGAACAAATGCCCAACCTTAGTCTAAACCCCTCGTTCTAAGTCCCTAAGCTCAAACTCTAAACCTGGCCTGGACATCAAAAGAACTGTCCCCAACCAAGGCGCTAGCTCAGACATCCCCGTTGCGCGAATTTGAACCAGGCGCCCTCCGCTGGCAGCGTGGCCCTGCAGTACATGACTTGAGAAGCGCATGGGCCACTCCTGTTTAGCCCTTCTACTGGGGGCCCTTGTGCAGTGCACAAACTGGACAACTATATACGAAGGACCTTCTGCTGACAGTAAACTCCTCTCTTAAAAAATGCAAATTTAAGAAACAATGAGACCTTTTTTAACCTCTCTGATGGGCAGAGATGATAAAGTTAATAACTAGAGGTGGCCTAGCCATTTTTTTGTAAAAGGCCAGACAGTAAAAATATTTTTGTCTTTGCAGGCCATACAGTCTCTATGAAAATTACTCAACTCTACCATTGTAGAGCAAAAGCAGTCGTAGACGGGGGCCGGCCCGGTGGCGCGAGCGGTTAAGTGCACGCGCTCTGCTGCGGCGGCCCGGGGTTCGCCAGTTCGGATCCCGGGCGCACACCGACACACCGCTTGTTAAGCCGTGCTGTGGCGGCGTCCCATATAAAGTAGAGGAAGATGGGCACGGATGTTAGCCCAGGGCCAGTCTTCCTTAGCAAAAAAGAGGAGGATTGGCATTGGATGTTAGCACAGGGCTGGTCTTCCTCACACACACACACAAAAAAAAGCAGTCATAGACTGCAGAGCGTGGCTGTGTTCCAATAAAACTTTATTTACAAAAACAGGCTTTGGGCTGGATTTAGCCTTCAGGCTATGCTTTTGCAAATGCTGGTCTAGACTAACAAGAAACCAGCCTCTCATACTTCATTGACAGGGGTGTAAATTGCAAAACCATCTGGGTGCTCAGTTGGATAGGAACCAAAACTGGAGCTCCACAATCCAACTTTTTGTCAATTGTCTGAAGGAAATAATTGCCCAAAGGAAATTGGACAAAGATGTTCATTGTGACATTGTGCAAAGCATTAGAACCAACCTAAATGCTTTTCTATAGGGAATTCATGAAATAAGTGATAGCATATGCGCATAATGGAATACTATACAACCAGTAAGAGTGCAGCCAATCTACACTTTTTCATGGCGAAGCTGCCCTCTACATATTAATGATACAGTATGGGACACTATGTATTTCATGACCTTGGTTATGCGAAGGAAATCTATATGCATGAATGGGTTTAGAAGGACACACTCAAATTGTTCAGAGTGTTTATCTTTTATTTTAATTTTGCAGTGAACACATACATTTTTATAATCAGAATAAAAGGTTTCCATTTTGGAGATCAAAACTCTGAATTGGAACATTCTCCCTTAGTGTCTGATTATCTGCCACCCTCCACCCCATCCTCATTTCCTTTTCTTCCTCTTCCAGCGTTGACTTCTAGTAGCATCTAGCCTTGAGCGTAGCATCAGCCTGAGCGCCTAACTCTAGTTCTGTCCATACTGGATCTCTCCAGAACCTTCTCACGGTGGCTCTTTTTCACCTCCCTTAATCTTCCTCCTTCTTTAGTTGGGTGTGTTGTCATCAGTTCTACAATTAGCAAACATATAGCACTACTTGTGTGCCAGGCTCTGTGTTAGCTTGTTACTGCTCACAGCAGCCTGTGAGGGAGGTGCTGTTATTATCCACATTTTACAGGTAAGGAAACTGAGGCATGGAGGGGCTAAGTAATTCACCAGAGGTCACACGGCTGGGATGTGGCGGTGCCGGGATTTGAACCCACGCAGCGTGGCGCCAGAGCCGAGGCTCTCCACAGCTGTGCTTTGCAGCCTCTGTGTGCCCACTGTGTGCCCAGCTGAGGGGATTGAAGAGCTCTTAGGTGGTCACCCTATGCTCAAGGAGAGTCCACTACGTTCAAAAGAGACACACACAAAGCCGAGGCCTAGGGAGGAGGCATAAAAACACCACCACTCCAGGGCTGGGTGGGCCCAGGTGGGGTGGGCCAGGTGGGGCAGATGGTGAGAGGACAGGGAGGTGGCCAGAAGGCTTCTGAGGGAAGTGCCCCGAACTGTGGTGGCCAGGTGGAGGCTCCCAGGAGGCGTGACGCATATGAGCCACCTGATACCTGGCTCCCCGTGGAAGGTGGCGGGCGGGCCTGCCCAGGGAAGGCGTGCTCCCTGCATTTCCTCTGAGGCCAGCCCTGAGGTGGCAGCCCTCCAGGCCGGTTCTCCTCTTTCAGAGCCCAGAATGAACGTCAGAACCATCTACCTGGCCATCCGGGTGGTCAAGAACACCCTCTCCGACACCAGGTCCAAGGTAACAGAGCAGAGGCTGGGAAGGGGTGGCCTGGGGCTCTCTGTGCACAAGCAAGGGGAAGTCTGGTGGGCAGCCTTTGCTCCTGTCCAGTTCTGTGGATGGAGGCCCCAGCTGGCCTCCTCAGGTCAGATCCTTTGATGGAAAACCTAGCTTCGTAGCCAGTACTGAGCGGGGCTGGGGGAGAGGGAGGCCATAGAAGCTGTGGTCCCGCTGTCACCAAGGCCCTGGAGTGTTCCAGTGAAGGGTCTCAGACATCACCCTGGACCAAGGACGTGCCGAGCGAATCCAGCTTCGGCCAAAGGTGCTTGGCTTCCCATGGGTGTGGTAAGGTCTTTACCCCGTTTGAAAAAGGCACTTGACGAAGACACCGTCCACCCTCCAGATAGAGGCTAAAAGCCCCAGTCCAGGCTCCACTGCAGCCACGGCCACCTTGGAGTGGAGCTTTGGTTCTAGCTGTGGGCCCTGGTGGCTGTTGCACGTCCCTCCGGGGAGGGATGGTCCTGTATGGTGAGGGTCTATGCCAGCGGGGAGGGAACAGGGGGATTTGGGCTGGAGGTTTAGGCGAGCTGTTCTCTGCACATGGAGGCTGCAAGGGAAGAGAGAACAGGCCTGATCTGCGCCGCCCCCACATAGTGAGGCCCAGGGAGCCCAGGATAAGAGTCGGGTTGTCCCCACCTGGGACGCCTGTGTAGAAGGGAGTGGTCTCCATGTCTCTGAATGGGACCCCTTGGATGAGGCAGGGGTGGTAGACAGAGTGGGCAGTAGCCAGGTGGCCCCTAAAGCCCCTTCCATCCCAGAGCACCCCCAATTCCTCTCTCATGTCACAGAATTGGGTGTTAGATGCCGAAACTCCCATCCCAGAGCCCACCCCAACCCCCGGCATGTCTGCCGCCCTGTGCCCCCAGGTGAGGATGGCTATTCTCCGCATCATCGGCCAGTTAGCTCTATCTGGCTACCAGGACAGGATCAAAGGCTGGGGCCTGAAGTACGTGTCCGTGCAGCTGACGCTGTCCACCTACAAACTGGTGAGTGGCCCTGACGTGCTGGTCACGGAGCAGCTGGACTTTGGAGATGATGTCCAAAGCATTGGGGAAAGAGCGATGCTCAGTGCTTGGACCTGCAGCATATGCAGCCACGGTACAAGTGTGCAAATGCACAAGGAGCTGCAGGTAAGGATGTGCAGCCACACAGGCAGGAACCTAGAAAATGCAGCCGGACACGCACAGCTCTGAACATCCCCGAGACCCAGCATCTGAGCATGGAGCCTCGTGGGGGTGAGGAGACCACACTCAAGACCACGGCAAGCCCCTGCCAGCCCACACACAGGGACCCCTTGGTTCTGTCTTCCAGACAAATCACCGAGAGGGCTTTTATCAGAGGGACCTGGAGGAGAAGATGGTCCACAAGGTCACCATGGACACCGTGAAGATCATCACCTCTTCTGTCAGCGGGATGACCAACGTGAGTGAGCCCCACCTGCCCGCCCACCGGGCCCGCGCACTGGAGCTGACAGCGCATGTCTGTGCTGCACCAGGCGGGGGGTCTGGGGGCATTGTACATACCCAGAATTCTGCATTGTTGCTTCTCCCGTTTCCGCTGCCTGGGGTGCCTGGGGGCCTTGATCTTCCAACTGCCTGAGCTTGCGTCCTTCAAGATCCAATTCCAGGCCAGGCCCTTGATGGGAACTTGTGCCCCCAGATGCTAGGGCAGTGCCTGGCACACAGTAGGTCTCAACATGTATCAGTTGAATTCTCGCCTGAAATGTGTCCGTTACCTTAACACCTTCAGTCCAGGTGTGCGTGTGTGCATGTGTGTGCATGTGTGTGTACAAAGAAATGATTTTAGTGGTTGAATTCCACAAATATTCAGTGAGTCCTACTATGTGAAAGATGAGGGCACACACTGGGAGGCCTCAGTATGACCCCAAGGAGTTCATAGGCTTTAGGGGAAACCAATTTGTCAGCTTTTAATTGCAATACAATGTGACATAACAATAAGACAGGAAAAATTTACCATGAGAGCACAAGGAGGGAATCATTGTCCATTAAGTGAGGCCATGGGCTAGATGCTCCCTGTCCAGTGGCAGCTTATCTTAATTATAGAAATAACGAGAATGGTAATAACAGCTACAATCCATTGAGCATCTACATAGAGCAGTGCCATATGCAGAATCGCATCCAATTATCCCAACAACGTTATGAGGTAGGGTCTCTGATTATTACCCTGTTTTTGTAGATGAGGAAACCAGGGCTCAAAGGGACTCATTAATTCGTCCAGGCTTCAAAGCTGGTAAACAGTGAGCCAGGATTAAAACACTCTTTCTAGTTCATCATGCTGCCTCCCAGGGGGAACCCAGGAGCTGGGGATTCTAGTCCTGGCAGCTAGAACAGGCCAAGAGACTGCTTTTGTTAGTTGGTAGCACAGGAGTCTCATCCCAAGCTCCTAGGGCAGTGGGGTGAGGCTGAGGGGGGCGATGATTAGCTGGGGGTATTCACTGACCATCCAAAGGGAGGGGGGATGGCAGAGTGAAGTTGGAGGGCAAGAGACACAGCTCCAAGAATGTGTCAGTCAGCGTTCTCCAGAGAAACAGAGCCAGTAGGAGATAGATATAGTCTATTTACTTCAAGGAAGTGGCTTCTGCAGCTGTGGGAGCTGGCTAGTCTGAAATCTGTAGGGCAGGCCCGTAGGCTGGAAACTCAGGTAGGAGCTGATGCTGCAGTCTTGAGGCAAAGTATCTTCTTGCTCTTTGCCCTCAAGATCCTTGAACTGATTGGATGAAGTCCACCCACATTATCGGGGATAATCTCCTTTATGGATCATGGGCTTTTATCACATTTACAAAGTACCTTCCCAGCCACGCCTAGAGTAGTGTTTGATGGAATAACTGGGTACTCTGGCCTAGCCAATTTGACACGTGACACTGACCCTCACAGTTGGCAAGCACAGGTGGGTTGTCTTCCCAGTGTGTACCTACCTCTACAGGATTTGGGGTCAGAGGGAGGGTGCTGGTCAAAGAGGATGGGATGGGTGTGGGGTTGGTGTGAGGCCAGCAGGGACGGGGGGTTGGGCACCCAGGACTAGCTGATGCCCTCAGCCACAGCAGGACGAGTGTCACTTAGCCCTGACAAAGACTGGGGTTGACAGCAGAGCGAGTCAGGGCTGAGGCTGTCAGGGGGTCGGAGCTCGGTTCTGGAGAAGTAACGGTGAAGCCGACACTGTGGGGAGCCTGACCCATCACCTTGCACGGCCATGGGATGTCCCCAGCTAATCCCGCCCCCTTCTTCCCCCAGGAGTTTTGGGTGAGGCTCCTGTGCTACATCATGGAGACGGATTACACGGAGGCCTTGACCCCCATCTGCATCAGCCTCACGAACCTGGCGGAAAGCCAGCTCCACACCAAGGATGTGGAGGCCGACGTGGCCAGCAAGAGCCGTCACGGTGGGCAGCATCCATGTGCCAGCTGGTGGGAGTGGGCAGGTGGGACGCTCTGGGTCCCGGAATGTTTCCCTTCTCCAGGAAGCGTCCCGGAATCCAAACAGCTGGCTCAAAGGCCCTCCCTTGCCGTGTCTGAGGAGGTATCAAAATTGTGCCAACTTCCTGTGGCAGCTCACTCCTCATGTCCCCACCCCCGTGTCCCCTCGGCCCAGACCCTACCCTGTGGAGGTCCTGGCTCAGACTCTCTCGGGGTGTGACCTTTCTGGGCCTCTGTGAGCCAGCTGGAGGAATTATAGATGTCCCATCTGAGTCCTCTGTAAACCACCCCACCGTGGTCCCCCCAGATTGAGCACGGTTAACATCGGATTCTCAAAAAAGTGACTAGGCCCCCCTACGTACAGGGTGATGCTGCTGTTCCAAGGGGCTGCTCTCATGGGCCTGGGGCTTTCCTGGATGGGTGGCTGGCAATGGACGTGATTTGGGAGCCTGTTAGGACCCTGGGAGGGCAAAGGGCCCAGCCTGCTCTGATCATCCAGCTAGGCCATCCCCTGAGGTCTTGCTCATGCCCCCACTCCCCAACTCTGGGGCTGAGGCCTCTCCTGGGCCCCCCCACCTACACCTTCTCAGCAGGCCTGGCCCTTCTTCGCCCATTGGTCCAAGTCCTGTGAATTTCCTTTTCATAGGCTCACAGCCTCCCAAAGCCTGCGAGGGTGGGATTGAGAGGGGGAGGTGGGTATCTAATTACTGTTGGCTCAACAGAAGCCAAGTTCACAGTAGGAGACAAACACTCTCATGGCAGGTCCTGGTGTCCACTACCAAGTGGGCATGTCCTGAAAACAGAATATTCTAAGCCCCAGCCCATAGCACAATTCTCCCCTCTTCCTAGGATAAGCCAAGTAAAACGATATTCTTTATAAAAAATCACTTGTGCTGACCCATTCTCCATTCTGGGGGCAGTAGGATGGTATTGGGTGCACCTTCCAGGGTAAAGCGTCTCTCAGGGGCACTGGGAGTGCTTCCTGGTACAGGCCAGGCACTTCAGCAAGGGTCGCATCTCCTTCTTCCTCAGTGGACCTGCCTGCTCCCCAGAAGCTGCTGGCTCGTCTCCTGGTGAGTGGCTCACCCTCGCTGTGTCCTGGCCTGGCTGAGGCCATGTCCTGTGCGCCTCTCCCTTGAGCTCCTAATTCCCAGAGCCCTTAGAGGGAAGACAGAGCTGGACGCTTGGCAGGACAGAGCTTTCCAGGTCCCTGTCTTCCCTCTCGGGTAGATGTGGCAGGGGCAGTGTGTTCAGACACTGGAGGACCTGGCAAGGACCTGCTCCTATATTCCTCCGCTTGGCCTTTGAGCATCCCCAAAGCATCCCCGGACCCCACCAATGGCCTGCATGCCCCCAGACGTGGGCTCAGTCCTGCACTCACGTCTCCTCTTCCTTTGTTGACCATGGATGCTAATCCGTGCTCTGAGGAAACTCGGGATGGAGAGGGAGCTGATGGTCTTGTCCCTTATCTCCTTTCCACTCTGCAGCATCCTCTGCAGGGATGCTCTCTGACCCCGGAGATCCTTGGAGCTCTGTTTGAAAACCACCCATCTTGTCCAACTCTCCCCTTTACAAGTGTGGACAATAGGCCCCCAGTGAGGAAGTGAGGTGCCCGGGGCTGTCCAGCCCAGTGCAGGGCCCCACTGGAGCCTTGGTGCCCTCCAGGTGCTGATGTCATCCCCCTACAAGGGGGAGGGCCGTGGGATAGCCATGCTCAACCTCCTGAGGACCCTGAGCCAGAGCATCGTGCCCTCCATGGCCAACATGTGGGAGCTGGAGATCCCGCTGCTGGTCAAGTACCTGGAAGGTGACTTGCCAATCCCCCTCTCAGTGTACAGGCTGGGGTACTAATCACATGGCCTGAACAACAGAAGCCATGGCTCGAGGTGGACCAGCATGGCCTGTTTTGGTCCTTGGGAAGGTGGGGAGGGAAATGCAGTGTGAGCCCATCCATGCAGGACCTCACAGGCCAGGCTAAGGAGGCTGACCCAGAGGAGAGCAGCAGAAGAAAGTAGCATATGTGACCCTTCCTTCTGCAGAACATACTGAGTTTACTTGGAATCAGAAGACCTGGGAGGACAAGCTAATTCAGGTAAAGAGGTGATCCAGCCTGCTGAGGTCAGGATGGGGAGAAAGGGAGGGATGGCTGGGAGGGCGCCTGGTGGGGATGGCACTTGGGGAGTTCAGGATCCCATCAAGGACATGTTCTCCTTCTGTCAGAGTAGACCTGGGGAGTACCAAGCATGTCGACAGCTATACATATCTATCAGCAGGGGAGAACAGAGGGCCTTCCACTCTGGGAAACCAAGTGCCCAGGAAAGCAACACAGGGGTGACACTCCTCCTGCCAGCCCCCAAGGCAGAGTTGTTCCTCAGACCCACAGGCTCATAGAATGTTAGCACTGGATTGGGGCTTTAGGGGCCAAGTGATCTAGAGATTGAGGAAGGGGGCTGGAGAGGTTGGGTTACTACTCAAGGTAACTCCCTCCTGGAGCACCACCCACTGATGTCTTCTGCCTCCTCAGTTTCTGAGAAACTCCCTCAAGAAGACTCGGGGTTCCAACTGGAGCCTTCGTCTGAGCAAAGAGCTGAACAACCAGATTGAGAGCTTTGACAGCCCCTCCCTGGAGAAGGTTTGTCCCCACAGAGGCAGGACAGCTCAGACAGGGAGGGGACTCCAGGGATGGTGGAGTGGACTCATGCTGTGTGTGAGACCAGCTGCACCCCTTGCTGTCTACAGGGACGCAGGAGGAGAGGCGGGTGCTCTAGACCAGTGGTGTTCAGTTTCTTGTTTTGTTTTGTTTTTCCTTAAGAAACTGCTCTGTTAAGGCTGGGGATGTTTCCTCCATCCACCAGCTTCCCCATCCTTCTCACTTCACTCTCCACCTGTAGTGGTCTCATGGCAGAGTCCAACAGGCAAGGACTGAGCTGTCTGAACAGGTTTTGGTAAATAAGGAAAAGAGTGAAGATGACACTGAACCACAGGAGGCTGAAGGGGTCACTGGGTTCTAGCCCAGCAGTGAAAAAGATAAGGCCTGGATGGGGTTGGGGGAGAATGAGCAAGCTGGGGTTTGGAGCTGGACTCCCAACTGTCCCCATCCCCACCCAACAGATTGCTGGATATAGTTTCTTACACCTGACTCATCCAGATACTGGCCCATGACCACACGTGTATATTTCACTGTAAAAAGGTCTTTACAAAACTATAAATATTGTTGAAAGGAATCAGAGAAGGTCTCAAGCAATGGAAAGCAGCCCATGTTCGTGGATTGGAAGATGATATAGGTAAGATGGCAACACTCCTCAAATTTATCTGTAGATTCAACATGACCACTGTCATAATCCTAGCTGGCCTTTTTGTGTGTGTGCATGCAAAGATCAATAAGCTGATCCTAAAATTCATATGGAAATGCAAGGGGCCCAGAATAGCCCCTTTATAATTATGATAAAAAAAAGAACAAAGTTGGAGGACTCAAACTCCGCAATTTCAAGACTTCTTACACACAACTGCAGTAAATAAGACAGTATGGTACCGGTGTAAGGATAGATATATTCATCAATGGAATAGAATTGAAAGTCCAGAAATAAACCTCACATTTACTGTCAATTGATTTTTGACAAAGGCACCAAGACAATTCAATGGGAAAAGAATAGTCTTCAACAAATGGTGCTGGGGCAACTGGGCATCCACCTCCTGCAAAAGAATGAAGTGGGAACCCCTCCTCACACCATACTCAAAAGTTAACTCAAAATGGATCATAGATCTAAATATAAAAGCTAAAACTATAAAACTATTAGAAGAAAACACAGGCATAAATCTTTGTGACCTTGGCTTGGGCAAAGACTTCTTAGATATGACACCAAAAGCATAAGTGATGAAAGAAAAAATAGATAAATTAGACATCATCAAAACTAAAAACTCTTATGCTGAAAATACTACCGTCAAGAAAGTGAAGGAGGAGAGAAGTCAAGATGGTGGCATAGGCAGACTCTGAACTCACTTCCTCCCATGGACACAGCCAATTTACAACTACTCTTTGAAAAATTACCACTGAGAGAGAACTGAAAACTGAATGAGAGGAACCTCTGCAACAAATGACAATCCTAATTGAGGTGGAAGAGGCAGAAACTCCCTTCTGGAGAGAAAAAACGCCACCTTCACAAGCCGCAGTGCTTCCCGGCCACCCAGGAGAAATCCAAAAGTACGCAGCCTTCCCTGGAGGAGTGGGGTCCCTCAGCCTGGGACCGCTGTCTCAATAGGCGTTGTTTGGGCCCAGCACAACTGAGACGAGTGGCATAATATCTGACTTTGCTTGCTACTAACAATATTGGGGAGTACCCAGAGCAAAACTGGTTCACAAAGACACTAAAGCCCGCTCTTAAAGGGCCCATGCACAAATTCACCCATTTCAGAAAGCAACCTAAAATCACCAGAAAGAGAGGTGCACAGTCCTTTGGTGAAAAGAGACTAACCTGATAGGATCTGAGTGCATCTCAGTGAGAGGTGAGACCTCTCCAGGGACTGGAGCATTGGCGGCGGCCATTGTTGTGACCTGGTGTGGGCATGCTGACACAGACACTGGCAGACACCACTGGAGTTCTCCCTGGGGCCTGCTAGCCCAGGGTCTGCCCCACCCACTAGAGCACCAATTTAATCCAGCTCAGCCAGGGCAGGCAACCTACCCTAGGGGCTGGCCCCACCCAACAACATGCCATTGGGCAACTTGTGGGCCTGCTAAGTGATCCGCCTGGATCCTCTGCAGCCTGGTGAGTGGGTCCACCTCTGTGGAACAGGGCATGCGTAAGGAACGGGTGGAGAGTGTGGGGCGGTGGTGGAGTGTGTGTGGCTCCCACCTGGGAGTGACTGGGTCCATTTCAGGAGGTTGGGGCACACACACGGGGCAAGACTGTGTTGACTATGTGTGTGGACCTGTGGATGGTGGGGCTTGTCAGCTGCAGAAGACTTGTGCTTCTCAAACAGCCACATAGGGGATTGACCCTACCTTCCAAAGCCTGGAATAATTGGGTGCTCCTGTGCCTGAGGCCACCCCCGCCCAGCTGCAATCCTCAGAGAGCTGACAAGAGACTTAAAGGCTGGAGGCTTATAGCAATTGTAAGCCCCTGAACCTAACAACCAGCCATGCTGGGGGCCTACTCACTTAATAGAAATACTGCAACAGGAATGTGCTATTAGACCTTGCAGCCAACTGTGCTGGGGCTCCCCACACCCGATAAAGAGACTGAAGGGCCCACAACAACTACAAGCAGCTGAGCATTACAACAGCTGGCGAGGGGGACAACTCAGCCTCCCTGGGCACCTATGGGAAGAGCAACTCCACCACAACAGAAGGACACATGTAGCCCACACAGGGGTCACTCCTGGAACATTCAGAACTGAGGGATGCCGGGCCTCATAGGCATCACTTATATAAGGTCACCTCTCCAAGAGCAGGAGATGTAGCTGACCTACTTAATACATAGACACAAGCACAGGGAAAGAGGCAAAATGAGGAGGCAAAGGAATACGTCCCAAGTAAGAGAACAGAACAAAACCCCAGAAAAGGAACTAAGTGAAACAGAAATGAGCAACCTGCACAACAGAGAGTTCAAACAAAGAGTGTTAAGGATGCTCACTGATCTTGGGAGAAGAATGGATGAACTCAGTGAGAA